AAAAATCATGATCTCCGACCTCAAAAACCCCCACTTACCAATTTTGAATGGAATCGGACCAAATCTTGTCCGCCATATTGGAGCAGCCATTTTTTTTAATTTCAACAAAAAATCCATAACTCCGATTAACTTAAAATCTGGCAGGTGTTCATAATTCGGGTGACAATACATTATGGAATTTTTGTTGAAATTAAAAAAAAATGGCTGCTCCAAGATGGCGGACAAGAATTGGTCCGATTCCATTCAAAATTGGTAAGTGGTGGTTTTTGAGGTCGGAGATCATGATTCTTTCGTTAAAATTCATAAATTCAAGATGGCGGCTTCCAAATAATTTTTTGTTTTTGTATAAATGACGATAACTCCGTTGTTATCAACACAAAACTATTACTGCGACATATCATCTGTAAGAGAAAAAAAAAGTTATTTGTAACTATCATAGTGAACTATGACCTACATTTGAAAAACTAAAGTTGGTGCTGATATCTCAAATTCTAGAAGAGTTGGTATAAATTTCATATTTTTTTCGAAATCACCTTGAAAAACTGCCATGAGAATGTGAAATTCCTATTTGAATATTTTCATAAATAAAGAAGTTACGGAGGAGACATGAAAATGATCAAAATCTGTTTTTTGCGTATAAAACAAAAACGAATAGATTTTATCAAAATATTTTTTCACATTATAGTTGGCCTTGTCCTTGACAAACTCCACATTTGGTGTCATTTAACCGACCTCGTATCTCTCACCGTTAAAAAGATACCCATGGTGAGCATGGTAAGTGGGACACACTGTATAGCGAGCTATTGTGCAAATTTATATCGAAAAATGGTTAAAAGTGGAAATAGCCATATAGAAATAAAACAAGATTATTTATTAAAAATCAAATTTTTAAAAAGAAGTGCCAAATTCTCCAAAGAGTTGAATGTAAAGAGCACATAGATTTTATTGTGGATCATCTCATACTATGTGAACTTTATAGAGAATGTAAAGAAATGTCCATCAAGTATAATAAAAAATCAGAAACTAAAAAACATCAGAAATTGAGTAGGTATATATTGAAAAGTTGAGAAATTATAAGTATATCTACCTTCTGAGGTAATCTCAATTGATTCAGGTTTCCTGTTTTTTTTGCGTTTGGATAGCTCTTATTTTCCTTAAACAATGTTGGATATTATTTCATTAAAACAAGCTGTAATACGTACTAGTTTCTTTATAATTATTTTATTACGAATTGAATTCCAGAATGATCTTCCAGACTGGAGAAGTACCTGAATACTTTTGAGTTTCATAATGTACCTATATATATGATGTGAATATTCCAGTAAATACATATTGTTGCACAACCAAAATGCTATTTCAATCTCACAACGAAGAAAAAATAACTCAGTAGTGAATGATCATTGCAAAATTTTCAATTTTCGAGATTAAGAAGAAAAAGTCCACCACATTGAGACGTGCGCCATATTTAATGTGGAATAACGTATCGTTTTTGGTCAATATCAAACGCCTTTTGATCAAGTAGTTAGATATATAGATATCCCTTTTCGAATATTCATATTTTGTGAGGTTAAGTCCATAGAAACAAACATCTGTGCTAGATATTTTTTCAGTACATATTAATGTATAAAAAGTATTGAAGAACAAAATAAACATTTTCGATTGCTCGAAAAAAAAACAAAAACATATTCTAGTTGGTACCTACCTACCTGTTGACTAATTTTTCTTGATTCATATTTCCATAAACACTCGAGACATCAACAGTCCTTTAATTGAAAATTTCTTGTCAGTTCTAACAACCATTCGAATTTCATCATTTTGTGTCATATGATACAATTTCACCCAATCATGTCAACATTACATTGATAATTGCATTCAGTGCAATTATCAATCACTATGACAACACGATTGTCGAGTAAATTTTCTGCTGAATATCCTTCCGACATTGACAAATGCGTCATAATATTATGTCTTATGTCTCAAGCTCGTCCTGGAAAGGAGCTTCCGATTGTCATAAAATTATCTCGTCTATTATTAATGTCCTAGGGCTAGGGATATTACTACTGATAACTAAACTCACCTGCTTACTTAAATCACAGTAGGTAACCTCATACCATCACAATATAGATACCTGAATATTTCAAGAAAACAAATTAGCCAGAGTTGCACAGCCCCCTTGCCAAGCAGTAGTGACGCCCATGGAATAAATGAAAGGGTATATATTGTCATAGATCTAAATCATAGATCCGGTACTTATATAAAACATAGGTATTTAATTTATATACTTATGATTCGTTTTATCGTTTTATGATTCATGGTTGAAACTTCAATAGTGCATGATCCGATTATTCCGTTTAAGTCCGTAATTAGTTAGATATCTATGGTTAGATCAACGATTTATGAATTTCCATATTGAGATGTTTATAATTCCATATTACCCATTCCCCCTCTACGATGCCACGTTGTTTATTTTTAGACACGAATTTCATTGAACAAGCCCCGCCTACGATTTACCCAGAGATTATACACACCCTCTGATTTAGCTAAGGTTTATGAAAAATTAGCGATCTGTTATTTTTAGACGTTCGGCTACTACCTAATAGATGGCAAATAATTCGCACAGGCAGAATGTTCGCCATATACGTTGACCATCTATTGTGTAATTAGATCTATGCTGCGTGCAAGCACCGAACATCAATCTTTAGTTGATGTTCGGTGGTACAAGAGATTGACAACGAGAGAGCTCCAGTCGAATTCGTGTCAAAATCATAAAAAGTGTATTCTTGCGTTGGAGCACGGTATATTTAGTGCGATGTGCTGACTCCGAGTATATCGGTAATGTTTGGAGATATGACGTATTATGGTGGGCGTGGTTTGTGCTAGCGTGCAGTATGTTTAGTAAAATCCGGTAAAATCGCGTCCTGGGACGGTCCTAGAACTATCCGAAACCTATACCTGCTCTCGAGCATGAACCGTTCTAGGATTATTTTTAGCGTATGCTCATTTCATTTACTTTTCGATTCTGTCTGTTGTAGCGTAACGCCATAACGATATATTTTTGTTTATACTACTGTTTATTGCTCTTTCCAATATTTTCTCAATACCATGGAGTTAGTACATTAATTTGATAGTAGTAGATCTTCATCTTCAGGAAGCAGTGGTGAAGGACTTACTTGCTAAAGTCGCTGAAAATATTTCACCTAATCTGATAATTCTCGAATTTTTGTTAGATAAAAAATGGGGAGGCTTAGCCATTATATTCAAATTCACAATTCATTGAACATTACAGGTGGGTGTAGATATTCTTGTAGGTACACCGGACAAAACATATTGAAAATCTAGCTACGAATGCTGTGATGGAGTGATGGAATATATCCAACATTCCTCCAGAGAGGGTTGCCAGAGATAGTGGTGCCCACGAGAGTCTCGTTTTCGAGTCTCGCATGGTCTCGTCTCTTTTTCGAGACAAGACTCGAAACGAGACTCGGACAAGACGAGACGAGACTTTTATCGGTCTCGTCTCGAGTCTCGTGCAAGACTTCTCGTGTATCGTGCGAGAGTTTCGCAGGTAAATATTTCTGCGTGCCGACTGCAGACTTGGGACTTTCATTCATAATACAACATATTTAGAAAGAATTGAGACTATTTAGCACAGATAGACAAAACATTTCATTCATAAATACTTTAAAAACACAATCCATGATTGTTGTAAAACGACGTAATGCGTGAAACGAAAACGGACTATACTCTCTCTTATACGGCGGCGGAATATAAAGGCAATTCTGCAATAACGACAGATCGCAAATTGAATGACTACCTGAAAATCTATAAATAAGTCATTTTGTGCTAAATAGTCTAAGATAAATGATAACTACGTTTTGACGGGCCGCTGACGCCACGGATGCATCGCCTATCGCCTTTTAGTATGTACTTATTAGGTACTTATTTTTCAATAAATAATGCATAATAATGATTATACATGACGAAATTGCGATACATTTGCGAGACTCTCGTACGAGACGCGAGACAAGACGAGACGCGAGACAAGACGAGACTCGAGACGAGACTTCATATTTCATCGGCGAGACGAGACTTGAAAGTCTCGTCTCGTTCGGCTCGTGTGAATCACTAGCCAGAGATATTGTGAATAGACTCAAAGGAGAGTTGGAAGCTTCAGAATATTATTCGAATAAAGATACAGGATCCAATCTATATATCGCTTTTTTCGGAAATTTCGAATAGAGGTTTCATTCTCAGAGGTTCTCTTTTGCCGCGTTCGGGTTTTCATAATTTGTGAACCGTTCTGAAACAGTCCAAGGATTCGAAACGACTGCGCACTAGTTCTGTGCAGTTCAAGAACTATTCTTGAACAGTTCTGAAATCGGAACAATGTCATCGTTGTTGAGGGGTTTGTCTGACATTGTTCTTTTTTCTCTCACTTTAGTACTCCTATGTAACAATAACGCTGATGATGAAGCTTTAAAGCTTCGAAACATGTCCCTGTAAGATTGCTTACAATAAAGTATAGCTTTGGTGAAGTCGACTGTAAGAATTTTGTCCTGTCCTATTTCAATATCATATTTTTTAAAAAAAAATGTGATCATTCCCGTTGGACTCCTAGTGTGATGCATTGATGGAATTAGCTCTTTAGGAAGAATCTAAAATCGCCATAATATACAGGGTGATCCATTTAAAAAATCAAGTAACTAGTACTTTTTGATAGAAGAGATAACGTCGCAATTTTGAAAATATTTCAGATCGATAGAACAGGAAATTTTCGGGAAAATCCTTCGATGCGCCCCATAAACGTCTAACCAACCAACCAATCATCGACCGTGAGTTAAATATATAGGGCAGCATACATCAAAATAAGTTGAAATAATGCAAATTGAAATAAAATATAGTTAAAAATTTCAAATATAACCTGATTTCCAGCAAAAGAACGTTCAAATATTCACTACAGAAAAGCAATTATAACAAATCACTATTTAACTATTTGCCCTCGATTTTAGGAACTAGTCTGGGGCACGAAACTGTCCCAAATAGACTCTTCCTCTGGAGGTGACACCAGCCAGGCAATGTTGCCAAGTCCTACAGGATTACCTTTAGCTACTAGTCCAGCTTTGGCATCACTCCCTCTTACGCCAACTTGGGAAATGTTGCAGGTTAGTGAGAGCTATTTCATTTTGATTTTTTAGGAATGGCGTTTTGTAAAAGGTGTCCCATTTTCAATATCCTCATGGGATATCTCAATTATTTTTGAAAATTGAGATTTGCAGTTTTCGTGAACGTTTTTACTTTTGTTTTCTTGTGAAACTTTCCAGCAAAATTTTCCTAGCCCGCTTTTTAATTAGGATACAGGACGAAATTGAAAATATTTCATATTTGGACCCCCTGTATCTCAACTATGTTTCAACTCATAAAAAAAGTCGAAACTGTCGTACCAAATTTCGTTGGTAGCAAAGATAATGGAAGAGAACTGCATTCAAACACCTATACCCTCAAAGGATTTCAAAGAATCTTTTCATAGATTTATCAAAAGATTTGATGATACAGTACAAAAATACTTTTTTTTAATAGATTTTTTTCACCTCCTGTTAACATGAGCGATAAACACCTAGGCAACAGGCTGCCTGTTTTGGATTTCTCCCTCTTAACAAAATACTTAACAAATATTTTATTCTATGAAAAAGAACAGTGCCATTCAATGATTCTACTTAGAGAGGGAAGGGGAGAAGATTGATGAATGACGATGACATGAATGTATTAACAGAAGTCAGAAAGTGAGTTAAATTTCAGGAAATTTAGAAAAGTTCGAACACGAATGCATTGTGAAACATGAATAGTTAGAGAGCAGTTTTGAATTGTTTCATTTCATTCGTGTTTTTCAAACATTCAGGCAGAAGGTTATACATTTTTGGTCGAACGTAGAAAACACGAAGTTGTGTATATTTTTTTTATAACGAGGAATTTGGATGATTTTATATTCACTGGATTATTACGCCAACCATAATATATTAGATGAGAACCATAGTTTTGATGATAATTTCGATATTCTACACGTAGAAAAGGAAATTTGAATCATTAGGAAACAACAAACTCATAAATACTAACATTTTACTTAAAGATCAACCAGACCACAATAGTTCACCACTGTTGAATTTACTTTCTTATAGTAGGTAATAATATATGTATTTGCTATCAACCCTTTCACGTTAATTCGGTAGACCGTATTTTGATGTAGATAATGTGCCTATTTTCCGAAAATGAAGGTTTATCGAACCTCTCCGCAGGTAATTCGAATCATTCAGGTTAGGAAAGTATATCTATAAATGTTAGGCAAGCCAAGGTTAGTTTATTTCATTGTTAATGATATCCCCCCTGTAGAAAGGTGGTTTAGCTCAAATTTGCTCTCTTTGAATATAAATAAAACCCATCTCTTATCATTCAAATGTAATCTACCAGATATTCCTTTGAGTACTGAAGTAATCATTGAGCAAACGCATACGAGCAAATTCCTTGGAATCCATCTGGACAACAATTTGAATTTTGAGAACCATGTGAAGTCTTTGAATACAAAACTAGCACGTGGGTGTTATGCTTTGCGAATGGTGGCGAAAGAACTGGGTATAGCCACTGCGAAGGTAGTATACCACGCTCTGATAGAATCACATATCAGGTATGGAATACCTTTCTGGGGTATCTGCAACCAACAAAACTTCAATAGTGTATTTGTTCTTCAAAAGCGTGCTGTCCGATACCTTTGCAAAGTTGGGCCAAGAGTATCTTGTAAACCGCTGTTCGGTCAAATGAAAATCCTCACTCTTCCGTCGTTATTTATTCTCGAAACAGTGTGTCTAGTACATAAAAACAAATCATCATACGAGGTAACAGTTGGTATCACTAGACAAAGTAACAATTTGCGATTACCTATTCCGTCTTCAAATTTAACGAAAAACTCTCTGATCTATAGTGCGATTAAACTATATAATCACCTCCCTCCCGCCTTCAAAAACATAGTTTTTCCGTCTCATTTCAGGAGATCTGTCAAGCGCTTACTTATCGATGAGGTTTTTTATAATGTTCAAGAGTTTCTTGAGAAAGATTGGAATAGTTAAAATGTATGTCTATTTTAACATTTTGGAATTGTATTCTAATGCTCAATTCATTTTGTATCTGTCTGTTCTCTTTTATTTTTTTCTTGTGTTTACGTAAATATGTATTTATTATAATTGTGACAATGCTATAGTACCTGCTCTATACTATTTATTTATATAAACTTATTTAATTATTTATTTTATATTCATCATGACTTTATCAATGAGATGAAAATCTTCCGATAATAAAGTATATTTTGATTTGATTTGATTTGATTTGATACCCAATATTTCACTTGAAGAAGCTACTGTATTAGCGAAACAAGTCGTGTGATTAAGAATTTTGTGGAAATCTTATAGTTTGTGAAGTTTTTACATGTGCTTGGAATATCCATCAAGTAACGGCCGAGTCAATTCGAAAAATCACTAGAAATTGAATTTTTTCAGCAGGAATTGAAAAGATGAAGGAAAATAAAATAATATCAATAAAAAAATAACATCAAAAAATTAGAAAAAAAACTGAAACAGCACTAATTCCTAACGAGTTCAGATTTCTGTATACTCGATCATATCTCATCAATTTTCTGTACACTTTTAATTTCTCTTTCACACGTTATTTTAAACTATATCCTCATCATGGGTTTTCTGGTGCCGTATCTCTCAACAAACTGTTATTATTCTTTATAATCTAATCCTGGTATTATTCACATTCTTGGAAAAACTATTATATACGGTGACTTGAAAAATGCAATTATTCAGAAATTGTCTGAATCGATTGCCATTATCAAAACTTTTGTAAAACTATGCCTAATCCGTTTTCTTCAATGTTGCTGTAGGCCAATGAATTGTATTCGAAGAATTTGTTTTGCTCTACAAAGTAGATAATTTTGTGCAGTATATGATGAGAAAATAAATTTCATATCGCTCTAGAAATACGAAAGTACAGGGGAAGGGGGGTGGAGCAAATTATATAACACACTGTTTATAGAAAATGAGGAGCGAAAATGTCAAAATATCTAGACGAATAAATAATCCACGTCCTTGATTAACCAACAGACAATCTTCTATTACATATTGTTGTACAGGATGATAGAGGCCAATAAATTGGGCACTGAAGGGAAAGTCCTATTCCCGTACAAGATAGAAAAAAAACTGATGTCGGTGCCTGTTTTTCAATTCTCTTGACAAAATCAAAGGTGAAAACCGCATAACAATATCTGTTTTTATTTCAGAGTTACATGGTGTTTTTCTAAAATGTGAATTTTTGAAAAGTGGCTCTTTTTTGGCAAAAATTCTTTGTTTTCATGGAAGCATTTCCAAAGCATTGTGTTTGTCATGGAAATTGATCCCCAGGCACTGAAATTAGTCACTGTATACCGTATACCGTATACCTAGTTGCAAAATAGAACTTTTCCTTCAAGAAGAATACGTTATGTTCTTGACTCAACCTTTTTCTATATTGTAATTCAGAAAGTGTACCTTGTAATTCAGATTAGTAAAATGTGAGTCAGAAAGTGTGACTTGCATTCAGAATAGTTAATTGTAATTCAGAAAGCGTCAATTGTAATTCAGATTAGTGAAATGTAATTCACAAAGTGTAACTTGTAATTCAGAATAGTCAATTGTAATTCATAAAGCGTAATTTGTCATTCAGAAAGCATCACTTGTAATTCATAAATACTATGGACTTAAATAAGGGTAGGGAATAGAAATCAACGAATGGTTTATTGTGTGGTGAACATGAATATCACATATTTATCGACCAAAGGGCATATCTTGAAATGCCAGAGCTGCAGCATGGTGAATGGTGGTGTGTTGTGCAGCCCTAGCACAATCACCTCAAAGAATTGAATCTTTGGCCTGGTCAATATCATGTTCCCGGACCTTCAACTTGTGGCACTCGAAGATTTACTTTTACATGACACTTTATTTTGGACCACATTGTTTCAATTGCGTTCAAAATTGGGGAATATGGAGCTAAACAAAGAAGCCTTCCCCCAGTTCCGACGAGAACGTCTTCATGGAAAAGTTTCTGAATCAAATTTCCAATTGCATGTAATAATGATGTCATCAAATATTCAAATTATATCAAGTTTCTTGGTCTGTACATAGATGAACATTTGTCATGGTCAAAACATATTGAAATACTTAGGAAAAAAATATCTCCAATAATAGGTATACTTTTTAGGGTACGGAACCAAGTTCCTATAAAATGTCTCAAATCTATATCTATTCTAAACTTGAATATTTGATTTCTGTATGGGGTTCAACAAAACTATCAATTATGAAGCCTCTCAAAACTCTTCAAAATAAAATTATCAAATGTATATACAGACTAAATTATTCGGAACCTACTATGAACCTTTACAGAAGAAGAGAATTATTAGATATAGATTCCTTATATAAATTCAAATTAATGTCGTTCATTCATTCAGTTAAACATTGTCAAAAGCATTCAAATTTGGTTTTCCAAGTCGATAGTAATCACCACAACCATACAACCAGACAAGCAGATCATTTTTCTGTCAAGAAAATTAAATCAGATATTGATAAAAAATCCATCTATCACAATGGAATGATACAATACAATTCACTACCAAATAACTTGAAGCTGATTAATAGGATTGAAAAATTTAAAAGAGAATTCAAGAAACATCTACTCCTGTAATATTGACATCTCATCTCATTTTTATAGTTTTCTTGTACAACTACTATAGTTTTCAATTGTGTACCTAACAACTGAGTCAATTGAGGATCATATTCATTTGAACTTGAAAAAAAAAAGATTCTTTTTGAGTGTGAGTCTTATTTTACTGTCTTCTTTATTTTATTTTGTCAAATATATTTATATATTCACTATGTTCCCTGCTATAAACAAATGTTGTTTCTTGGGAATAATAAAGTTGATTGATTGATTGATAAGTGATACTTCCTGAATTACAAGTTATGCTTTCTGAATTACAATTGACGGTTATACCGAATTACTTCTCACTATTCTGAATTACAAGTTACACTTTCTGAATTACATTTCAATAATCTGAATTACATATCACGCTTTCTGAATTTCA